TGCAAACAATTTTTCCTTATTTGTATTTCCTTAGTCAAGATTGGCAAGTTTTTTCATAACGAACTGAACACAGACCTTCCATCCAAACTTAATGTTAATTAAAAAAATTAATCTATCAAAGAGCTAAAGAGCAATACAGCCTTATTTACTATTTAAAATAAAACAAAATCAATCAACAGTTAATATGTTTTCAAAAACAATAACATTGGCTTTAATACTAGTAAATTATGAAAATACTTACTTTAATAGTTAGTATGTTTTCAAAACAATGATATTAACTGTAATGATAGTAATTATGAAAATACTTACAGGCTATTCATTATTTAAAATAAAACGAGAATCAGTCAACAGTTAATATGTTTTCAAAAACACTCTATTTATTATTTAAAATCAAATAGTTAGTATTTTTTTAAAAACAATAATATTTGACTATAAATAAATACTTCAAATTGTTGATATCATCCATTGGGCAACAACAACAAAGATAGCCAAAAAGAGAAGAGAAATATCGAATTTCATTTTGATTTGTTCAGTTAATTCTTAGCGAATTTTGGTTTTTTTCAAATTGTATGCAGTTAAGGAATTTGTGATGATAGTAAACCAGTTATTTTAGAATTTTAGTTATTCTTCACAATCACAGATAAATGTATCCTTTAGATATTCGATTTAATGTTAATTAAACAAGAAATTGATTGTTGATCGTGATGGGATGTGTGTCGTATATATCATACAAAGAATAATGAAAAAAAGAAAAAAATACAAACGGTTATTTACTTTTAGGCGCATGTCGAAGATAAACGGAAAGGATCGATAATAATCTTAAGAAAATTAATCAAACACCCCATTTTAATTATAAATCTTGATATACTATATATAGATGTTTTTTTTTGATTGTCGATCATAATAAAAATAATAATATTAAATGATAAAGAGGATGAAAATTACAAGTCCAATAATTAATATTAAACATAACATTGTCCTTTTCTTTTATGACAAACAAAATTGACAAACAAACAGGTTACAATTTACTCTCTCTATATGAACTTCCCTGATTCATTTTTTTATAACTAATTGCTCTCTTTATGACGAACATCTTAGTAAAC